CCTCGGTTCCTCTCAGAGCAGGGAGTCAAGAGGGCCTTCCCTCTCCTACCAAGATAGACTCACTCCTTTAAAATCCACGGGGGGGAAAAATCCCACTTTACAAAAGCAAGCAAGACTGTCGGCACAAACATTCATGTTTCATTTAAAAACTGGCAGGTTTGGGTCTGAGTGATAGCACAGCGGGAAAGGTGCTTGCCTCGCACGCAGCCAACCCAGGTTTGATCCCTGGCATCCCACAGGGGCCAGAGGAGAGCAGCCAGGAGTGATTCCTGAGTGCAGAGCCAGGAGGAAGCCCGGAGTATCGTCAGGTGTGGCCCCCAAAGAAAGAAGAAAGAAAACCAGAAAAACAGACTGATTCTTTTTCTCCCTCAGGGCAAGTTCTGATGAGGAGTCTCTGAGAGTGCCCAGGCCCCCCCACACTGGAGCCAAGAAACACAGATCTCTCTTCCTCCAGCTGAAAAAACAAAACAAAAAAAAACATGGAAATGTTCAGTTCCCAACAAGCCCATGCAGGGTCCATGTCCACAGCCCACATGTAAAGTTCACTTCAGCCCACATGTGCTGTCCAGGGCCACCGGCTGTTAAGTACAGAAGTGCAGGAAGTGAGGGTGTGCGGGAACTCCACAGGGCATGGGGACCCAGATGGTCCCCTTCCTCAGAGAGGATTCAAACTATAAAGCGCTGCAGGCCCGGGTGTGACGGAAGAGGGTTGGGGAAGGAGAGACATCAAGGAGGCCCCAAGGCTGACTCCTGCCGCAGGCCAGACCTGAGCCTGCTGATGGTAGGTGCGAGCACTGGGGTCTGCAGCAAAGTGTGCACACCCCAGAGGACCCCACCCAGCTGTCTCCCTCGACAGGAGCAAGAAGCAGGAAGGCGGCCCAGAGGACCAGACTCCCCAGCTCTGCGCCCAGAGCATGCGCAACGTGGCTGGGACAGTCACATGTTGGTGGATGTTTCCGTTTGCGACCGGACCTTCCTGATGGGAAGGAGGCCCTCCAAAGTGGTGTTCGACTCTGGCAAAGTGAAGATTTGCCAATTTGATGGGAGCCCGAAGCCCAGGTTCTGGGAGAGCAGCAGGAGTAAGGGCAGTGGAGGGGTCTGGCTTCTCGGCTCTGGCAAGGACGTGACCCCTTGACTGAAGGGATGTGTCCTTGTCCATGGGGCCTTTCACTCCGTAAGCATCACCTCTTGTGCTGGGAGCGTGTGGGGGTGGGGTTCTGGCAGCAGGTGCCCGGTCCCTGGTTCTCACGCGCGCCAGGTGAGCACCGCCCCTTCTTCCTCAGCTTCCTTCTTTTTGGCTTCTTTTATTGTGATTAATCAATTCATTTGGGTGGGGGGGGGTTACAACCCATCTTTGCTCAGGAGTGACTCCTGGCTCTGCACTCAGGAATTACTCCTGGCAGTGCTTCAGGGACCGTATGGGATGCCGGAGATGGATCCTGGCTTGGCCACGTGCAAGGCAAACACCCTACCTGCTGTGCTATAGCTCCGGCCCCATTCTCGGATATCTTAAATGGTAGATATTCCCCGACTCTTTTGAAGCATACATGCATATATACATATGTACATGTCTGTGTATGTATACATGCTTATCTATAACCTTTGTGGGTAGTCAGTTTGGTTTGTTTGGTGGGTGGGGACTAAGCCCTGGCTCTGTTCTCAGGGATCACTCCTGGCGAGGGAGGAGCAGCCCAGGCCGTCAGCAGTCACTTGAGCCCGGGAAAGTGGGGCTGTGAGGTCAGAGGGCACTGGCTCCCCTTCTCACGGTCATCAAAGAGCCTTGAGATGCTGTGTATGTCAACACATGTGGCTTCTCTTCCTGTCCCGGCCCAGGCTCTGGGCGAGCTAACTGGGGCGTCCAGTCCCTGCCGGGCTCATTGCTCCTCCGAGCAGTCTGGGAGTGGTCAGCTGTTCAGTGATCTGGCCAGGCCGCCCCATGTCCCCCGGATCCTGTGTGGTCACTCCGCGCAGCACCTCCCCAGGGGTCATACAGGGGTCATGCAGGGGTACACTTCCCCTCCTGTCCCATGCGAGAACCAGGGACCAATTACTCCTGGCGGTGCTCAGGGGACCATATGGGATGCCGGGGATTGAACCTGGGTCTGGCGTGTATAAGTCAAACGCCCTCCACGCTGTGTTATCGCTCTGGCCCAGGATATGGTTTCTCTCAAGGCTGAGGCCGGGCCTACACGCCCTGGTCACCACCATCACCCACCTCATTCTGCAAGTTTGCATTGGTGTTCCTGGTGTCCTCCAGGGAGGCCAGGGTCTCTGTCTTCTCCTGGGACAGTTGTTCCATAAAATGCCTGGCATCTTCCGCTGTCTGCATAGCCTGGAGAGAGAAACCTCGTTGAGCCAGGCTGGGGGGCCAGGGAGGGGTTGGCCGCAGTGGCAGAGCACAGCGCGAAACGCCACACAAACCTGCCACAGTGGTTCCGGCCCCCGCTGGGCGCCGCTCACCCCTCGGGGACTCACGTCTAAACCGCTCAGCGGCAAGACTGATGCCCCGAAACAGCCTAGTGCTCCCAGAGAACCTCCATTCCTCACACAGAATAAAAATGACATGAGCGGACAGCTAAGCAGGCCTGGTTGGAAAGCGTTGGGGGCAGGGGGGAAAGGAAGGAGAGGAGATGTGAGCCGTGAGCACAGGTGTGGGAGTGGGAGAAAGGCAAACCCTGAGTGAGCTGGGAAGAGAGAACACCTGCCCGGCACCAGGCACCCTCGAGTCCAGGCTGCCCTGCACCGGGCACACTGCTGGTGGCACAGGGCACCCCCGAGTCCCAAGTGAGCAGACTCAGGGCAACCGCTCAAAGTCCCCCCGGAAGACACCGCTTTACTTTACAACTCAGTGCCTCTCTCATGACTTCCCTTACGTCTTGAAGAGCCACAGTGCAATCTTCCGTGAGAACTCCCCCCGGATATGAACATACTGTTCTTTTTGGTTTTATTCACAGCTTATGCCTTGTCCTAGAGGTCAGCAGGCACGTGGTGACGAGCTGTCCCTGCGCCCGCAGCAAACAGCCCATGACACACGGGTTCCGTGGGGATCCACCGCTCCTTGTGCCGACGAAGAGCAATCCTCTTAACCGCTACAAGGGGGTGCCCGGGGCCAACGGGGGTCGGGCCTGCTCCACTTTACCGTAAATGACGGCAGCGTCTCGAGCTCTCTGATTTTAACGGCGAGCCTGATCTTGTCCTTTCTCAGCAGGCGGTTCTCCTTCTGGGCCTCCAGAAGGTTGGCCGAGACGTGGCTGCTGGTCTGGGCCAGCCGACTGACCTCCTTCTGGAGGAGGAAGTAACTGCCGGCCAGCTGCTCCTTCTCCCGCAGGATCTCGGCCACCTTCTGTTCTGACCGCGCCTTCTCCTCCAGCAGGTCCAGGTGCTCGGCCTGCAGCCCCTGGGCACGCGCCCGCAGCTCCTCCACCTCCTGCTCCAGTAGCGCCAGGCGGCCTCGCAGCTGGCTGGCCTCGTGGGCGGCCGCCTGGGTCTCCTGGGCGCGGGCCTCCCGCTCCTGCACCAGGGCCTGCTGTGCCGCGAGCCCGTCCTCCGCCAGCCGCCGGCACTCCTCCTGCCGCTCGGCGTCGAGCGCCTCCTTGGCCTGCAGCACGCTGGCGTGTGTCTTCTCCAGGCTGCGGGCCGCGTCCCGGGCCTCCTGCAGCGCCGCCTCGAGGGCCGACTGCTTCTCGAGGGCCGACTTCTTCTCGGCCGTGAGCTCCTCGATCTCTTGCACCAGCGACTTCTGATCCCGAGCCAGCTCCTCGTAGGAGCACTGCAGCTTCTGGATGATGTTGTCCTTGTCCTTGGCCAGGGATAGGTTCTCCAGAACCAGCTTCTTCGCATGCTCCTCCAGCTGGCCCCTCTCCTCCAGGCCCTTCTTACACTCAGCCACCAGGCCGCTCTTGCTCATCTGCAGCTCCTCCACCAGGGCCTGCAGCCCCACCTTGGCGACCTGCAGGGCGTCGTTCTCCGCGCGCACCCTCTGGAGCTCCTCCTGCACTGCCCTGCCCTCTTCCAGCACTTTCTCTTTCTCCGCCTCGAGGGCTTCTCGGCAGAGCCGCTCCTCCTGCCAGAGCTTCTCTGCGGCCCGCCTGGCCTCGATGACCTTCTCTTTATCGAAAAGAATCGCTTGGTTCAACAGCCAGAGCTTCCTCTGCTCTTCCCGCAGCGAAGAGTTTTTGGCCTCCGCTTCCTTCAACTTCAATAGCAATGACTCTCTCTCTGACTTCAGAGAGAGCTTCTCCTTCGCCAGCAATTGATTCTCTGACCTCAGGGCCCTGCGATCCTCCGACATCAGCTCAATTTCCTCTGATGTTATTAGGGAAGTTAATGACTACAGAAACAAAAGCGGGGAAGAATGGAAACAAGAATGAGATCAAGCAGGCACAAGCAAGCCAAGCACTTAATGTGGCCTAAATACCAGAAATGAAAATGGCAGAGTAGTCTTACCTGCACACGCGTGTATATGCGCACGCACACACTCACACACTCACACACACACACGCACACACACACGCAGGATGGAGAGGCTCCAACAGTTAGCTTCACAGGGTCAACATATCTACCTGCCTTTTTTGTGGATGGGGGCCCCACACCTGGAGGTGTTCTGGGCTCGCTCAGGGTTCTGTGCTCAGGGATCACTGCTGGTAGGGCCGGAGGACCATACGGGATGCTGGGGATCAACCCGGGTTGGCCGAGTACAAGGCAGCACTACCCATTCTTACTATCAGCCATTTTATTTTTGTGCTGCTCGACTGAAAATCAAAGCTGAGGCAAAGGCGTAGACCCAACTGTCAGAACGAGAGAAAAACGCTCATCAACAGCAGCCTCCGGCCCCAAGGGGCAGAGGTGCCTCCGCCGGGCCCTGCCAGGTGCATGACACCAGGTATCCCTGTCTGATTTGGAGTCTCCAGCAGAAGTGGTCCCGGCGGGGTCGGCCAGGCCACCCCGCATCCTTGCCTGCACCCTGCAAGCCTCTTGACCTGCCCGGGCTTTACCTCCAGGTCGCCTTTGGTGATGGACTCCTCTTCGACTCGGAACTGGAGGTCCTCCACTTTCCTGTGGGGGAGAGGGAGAGTTGTGAGGGGCGTCACTGCTGCCCCCCATGAGGGCCACCATCCTGTAGATGCGCGCCTGACCCAGCCCCCGCCTCCACACACAGGAGGGCTGAGAGAGTCAGCGAGGGCCAGAGCGAGAGTACAGCGGGCAGGGCATTTGTCTTGCACGTGGCCGACCCGGGTTCAATTCGGACCTGAGCAATGCCAGGAGTAATTCCTGAGTGCCGAGGCAGGAGTAACCCCTGAGCATCGCTGGGTTGACCCAAAAAGAAAAAAGAGAAAGCGAGTCCCCTCGGCTGTGAGCACTGGGTGGTACCCGCAGGCTACAGGAGGAAGCTCTGTCGAGCCAACGCCAGGCGCAGTGCCATATCAGCCTTTTCTGCCTCGCAGCTAACAGAGGTGGTTAGAGACTGACCAGGTGCGCATGCCAGTCCCTCCCAGCCAGCGCCTGCCCCCGCATCGGGACAACAACTGAGCCCCTGGGAGAGAAGCAGCAAATGACTCGGGGCCAGGGCGGGGGGTAGGAGGGGCTCCCAGGGGACGTGGTGAGTTCAGCATGTGGAGCTGAGGGGCTGAGCCGGGCACTGGCAGTGCCCCTGGGCACCACACTGCCAGGAGCCCATCTGAGAAGACGGTCTTGGCCGGCACCCCGTGTCCGTCTGTCTGCAGCCTGGCCTGAGCCCTGCCTGTCTGCTGCCGTGCCCCATGGGTGCTGCAGGTTTCCTCCCGCCCAGGACTTAACCCCAGGGACTCCCACAGGGCCCCACTGGGATACGACAGTTCCCAGCCAGCCAGCACAGGTCTCCTGAACACCAGGCCACGTGGACACAGCAGGGAGGGCCGGGGGTGGCTGGGCTCCAGTGAGCTCCCCCCATCCCCCCCAATGAGGCCACTCTCCGGACTGGGCACCCGCTGCTTTGTTGTTCTCATAGCCCTGGAAGGCCAGGAGCACCCCACCCGAGGCAGCCCCCCAGCTCCTGGCACGGCCTCACCTCTTCTCCTCCTCCAGCTGGTTCAGCAGCTCCACCTTCTCCCAGTCGCTCGCTTCCAGCATGGCCCGCAGCTCGTCCATCTTGGCCTCCAGCTCCAGGATGTACTGTGGAGGCAACTGCGCGTGAGTGTCCTCGCCCGCCCCCGACAGCCCTCTGTGGGCTGGCACCGCCACCTGCCACCGTGGCACGCTGAACGCGTCTCCCACCTAAGATGCAGCATTTCTGGAAGGCGGGAAGGGAAACACAGCACGAAAGCACCGGCGGGGACAACTCGGCGCTCCCTGAACCCCCACGGGGCGAGCAGAAGGTGCATGCGATCAAACCACGTGGCGGACGCCACCGCAACGACGGCAGACGGGGACCCACGGCCTCTCCCTGCACCGCCTGCACCAAGCTCGTGCCCAGCCTCTGCCGCAGGCGTCTCTCGGACCCGGCACTGCCGTCTGCACAGACGTCACCTGGTTGTGCCCGTCCCGGCCAGGGCCAGCTCCTGCTCTATCTCCCCCACATGGCTCGTGGCCTTGGCCACCTCCACCCGCTCCAGGTCTCGCTTGGCCAGCAGCTGCTCAATGTGCTGCTGCTTCTCCTTCAGCGCCTCCTGGAGGGCGGTGGTGCCGGAGATCTTGCGGGCGCAGCGGGAGGAAGTTACCGGCAACTGGAAAGGAAAAAGAGACGTGAAGGGTGTGGGGGCGGCGGACGCGGGCATGCATGTGGCTATCCTCAGCAAAGCAGATGGAGGAGCGCTGCATCCGTGCATATGGGCCACTGACTCTCAGCAGAAGCGTCTTGAAACCTTCCCGAAGATCCTTGGACGGGACCTGGGCTCCACTGACCTCGGGCCTCATGGGAATCCAGAGACTCTTCTGCAGAGCCGGAGGCAGCCCCCTCCACAGCCCGCTCTGGCCTGAGCTTCCTTAAGGCTGAGCCCTTGGCTTGAGCTTGAGGCCGGCTCCAGCATCTTCAGCCTTGCACGTCCGTCCGTCAGGGTCTCCCCAGGGCAGCCTGGCCCTTCTCTCTTCCTCTTCCTTCCAGCTCACCTCGCTCTCCCCAGCACCCGCCCCAGGCCTGAATAGCAGTAACCAGAGACTCTTGTCTCTGGGAATGGCCTCGTGCCCCTGAGGGTCACTGGGTGTGACCCCATAAAAGACCCCTGTGCCATCTGCCTTCGAAAGGGGGATGAGAGGCTAGAATGGTAAACTTGCGGGGAAGGCGCTGGCCTTGCACGCCGCTGACCCGAGCTGGATCCCAGGTACCCACCCCATAGGGTCCCGAGCCCATCAGGAGTGAGTCCTGAGTGCAGAGCCCGGAGTAAGTCCTGAGCATTGCTGGGGGGTGGCCCAAAATCCAGGAAAAAAAGGAACAAGTGGTGGGTGAGCATTGTGAGGGCTCACGCCCAGCGAGCAGGACAGCAAGGGCAGCTCAGGGGAAGGCCATGCACAAAGGGAAGGAGAGAAGAGGCAAAGACAGTGAGGAGGGGAGGGGAGTGGGCTGGAGGGCTGCGGGGACCGGGGATCCTGTCCGTTCTGTCCTGGGCTCGTGGTCGCTCATGGTCGCTCTGCAGACCAGTTTCCTTGCGGCACAACGGCCCCTGCAGGCAGGGACACAGCGGGACCTGATCTTCATTCTTCAGGCACACGGTGGCGGGGGCTGGGGCGGGGGTGGCCGAGGACGTCCGCTCCTTCTGCCCGGCCACCCCTGACCCATTGCCCTGCTGTGAGCCAGCCGCAGGGTCTCTTGCCGCTTCCCTGCATCATCTGAGGTGCTGCCAATTGCCTGCTGACTGACGGGCGCAGCAGGGCCCAGGCTGTCCACTGCTGCTTTGCCTGCTGGGAGCTCTCGAGCTACCTGTTTCTGTCCGGGGAGCAGCTCATCCTTGCCTCTGCGTAAGGATCTGGCCGTGACTCCCCAATACACTTAAAGTATATTGGTCAGATTAAATGCTCTCCCCAGGGCCAAAGAGTTTTTTTTTGGGGGGGGAAGGTGCTTGCAGAGGTTCAAGATCCAGCACCGTCAGGAGTGACCCCAAGAGCAGAGAGCCAGGCATAAGCCCTGAGCACCCCTGAATGTGGCCCCAAAACCAAATAATAAATAAACAAAATTTCTAGGAGGACACGAGCTCTCGGGCCCAGCCATGTGCAGTGCTGCCGGGAAGTGCACTCAACTCTGATTTCAAGGGGTGGCTGGGAAGAGCTTGACAGCCTTGGGGGTCTCCACCAAGACCTGGGCTTAAACCCCCTCAACCGGGAGCAGCCCCCAAGCACCACGCCTGGAGTCCCTGAGCACTGCCAGGTGAGCCCCAAAACCAAAGAGCAAAAATAAAAACTAGGAAAGGCGGGCGGCGGTGTTCCCTGAGCCTCCTGGCCTGAGCGGGTGGGGCAGGCCGGACGCATGCGCTTCCTGGGTCCGAGACAACTCCCTGAGGAAACCAGCACGGGAGGGAAGGGCTTTAAGCAAACCATGGAGATGAGACTGTGAGGTTCAGGCGCTGGAGCAGGGAGAAAGCAGCACCCCTGGCATGGGGGGAGGCGGGCGCTGAGGGGCTGGGCAAGGTCGGGGCCACGAACTGAACTCAGGATGTTGATGCCAAAGCCTCTGCCCTGCGCATGGTGTGTGAGGCCCCAGGCTCCATGCCAGCAAGGCCAGCCCCTCTGTGGGAGCCTGGTACCTCAGAAGAGCAACTCAGCCAACAAGCGAACCGGGAGGCCTCCCACAGGGCACACACGGACCTGTGTGCATGTATGTATGCATGCACGTACGTTCCTGTGGGCATGTCTACACACACCTGTGTGCATGCATGCGTTGTGTCTATGCATGTACGTGCCTGTGTGTATATACCCATCAGCCTGTGTATATACGGTATGTACTACGTGTACATGTATGAGTGGCTGTGTGTGTGTGAACGCTTGTGTGTGCACGTATGGAATTATGTTGTCGAGGTATACTTCCATGAAGTCACACAGAATCATTCTATATTCCTGTCATAGACGCTAACGGTGATGTGCAGTTTAGGAGTGAGCTCCACCCTGCGTAAAGATATGCAAGGCAGGGGCCAAAGGGCTGGACAGCGAAGCCCCAGCGCTGCCCAGGCTCAATCCCGGAGGCCCGCCAGGAAGAATCCCGAGCACAGAGGCGGGAGAAAGCCCTGGGCTCTGCCAGGTGTGACCCCAGAACAGAACAAAACAAGACAGCGTGGGGAGGCTGGAGATACGGCTCAGGCGTGGGGCTCTTGCTCGGAGGTGGGAGGCCCCGGCTCAACCCCAGCACTGCAAACGGCCCCTTGAAGCACTGCAGGGTGTGGCCCACAGTCAAGCAGAAAAAGAAAACCGAATTCCACAAACGGGCTGGCTCGCGAGGGAAGGAGAGGGGCTTCTGAGTCTGCTCCCCTCCTGAATGGCGAGTCGAGGGGAAGGAGGAGTCGGACGTGAGGATGGAGGCAGGCCAGGGAAACCTGTGGTGGTCGAGCAAGACAGGACTGGCCCCAGGCCTGTGCCCACGGCGGGTGGCCTCCTGGCTCCCGTTCCCGTGTCATCTGTTTTGTATCTTCTGTTGCACACACACTCACTCCCTCCTCTTCCGCATCGAGGGTCAATGCAGGGAGCAGAGGAGGTGGCAGGAAGCGCAGCCCCCAGCAAAGCCAGCCCCCAGGGACACGTCTCCATCGTGGGCCCGTTTCCCTGTGGACAATATCTCAGGACACCCTTGCACATTCGGACACACTTTAGTGTTTAGGACTCAGAGAGACGTGAGGGGAGAAGCCACGAGGCCCCAGCTTTGACTTGCGGCCCCGCAATGGACAGAAGTCGAGGCCCCTCTGCATGTCGACAGGGGTGCAGAGGGACAGGAGGGAGCAGGGAGGGACGGAGAGAGCAAACAGGCAACGCCAAGCACCAAGCGTTCCCCAGAGTCTCTGGGTCCCGCTCTGACCCTCCGACGCCCCCTTCAGCTCCCCCACTTCATCCCTAAGGCGGCCTGAGCCCTGAGCACCTGAGGAAAGGCCCATCCCTGCTCCTGTCACCGGTGGTGGCTGGGAAGCCACTTGCCTGCCACGTGGAGCTGCTCAGCCCACCCGGTCCTGTTCCGCCTCTCGCCCCTGGGGCCCTGGGAGTCCATGGGGGCCTGAGCATCGCACAGGGCGGGGGAGGGGGGCTGCTTACTAGTTCCGTGTGGCTGGGCCTGCTGCTCACGGATGAGGCCACGGAGCTCACAGAGCTGAGCGAGGAGGCCGACGGGCGGCGCTTCAGGCTGGCGGGGGTGTTGGCCATCACACGCCTCACAGGGGCCGCCTTGGCCTTGGCCAGCGTCGTGGAGGGGAAGCCGATCTTGGTGACTTTGTGAATGCGAACAAACAAGCCATACTTGGGCTGACACTGGAAGTACCTGCGACATCGAGGAGGGGAGGGACAAAAGACACCTTTGGCAAGAGAGACAGGCGCCGACCGCGGAGTCCACTGAGTCCCACAGTCTCACACCCCCACAGACTAACACGCTCCCACAGCCCCACACTCCCACACACTCACACCACAGCCAACACTCCCACACTCTCACAGCCCAACCAACAGTCCCACACTCTCACACTCCCACTCACCCCAACAAACACACTCACACCCCAACCAACACTCCCACATTTCCACAGCCCCACACTCACACACACTCACTCCCCAACAAACACACACACTCACACCCCAACCAACACTCCCACAAACTCACACGCCAACCAACACACACTCACACTCACACCCCAACCAACACTCCCACACTCCCACACACTCAAACCCCAACACACACATACTCACACCCCAACAAACACTCCCAGACTCACCCCAAGAAACACACACACTCACATCGCAACCAACACTCCCACACTCTCACACTTCCACCACAACAAACACTCACACTCACACCCCAACCAACACTCCCACACTCCCACACACTCAAACCCCAACACACACACACTCACACCCCAACAAACACTCCCACATGTCCACAGCCCCACACTCACACACACTCAAACCCCAACTAACACACACTCACACACAACCAACACTCCCACACACTCACACCCCAACCAACACACACTCACACCCCAACAAACACTCCCAGACTCACCTCAAGAAACACACACGCTCACAACCCAACACACACTCCCACACTCTCACACTCCCACCCCAACAAACACACTCACACCCCAACCAACACTCCCACATTTCCACAGCCCCACACTCACACACACTCACTCCCAAACAAACATCATACCCTCATGCAGCCTCACACTCACACACACTCTCACCCAACAAACACACACTCACACCCCAACCAACACAAACTCACACTCATCCCCCAACCAACACTCCCACACACTCACACCCCAACAAACACACACTCACATCCCAACAAACACTCCCACACTCACCCCAAGAAACACACATACTCACAACCCAACCACCATTCTCACACTCTCACACTCTCACCCCAACAAACAAACACACCACAAGAAATACTCCCACATTTCCACAGCCCAACACTCACACACACTCACTCCCCAACAAACACTCATACCCTCCCACAGCCCCCACACTCACACACACTCAAACCCCAACTAACACACACTTACACCCCAACCAACACTCCCAAACACTCTCACCCCAACAAACACTCCCACACTCACCCCAAGAAACAAACACACTCACACCCCAACCAACAATCCCACACTCTCACACTCCCACCCCAACATACACACACACTCACAGCACAACAAACACACCCACATTTCCACAGCCCCACACTCACACACACTCACCCCCCAACAAGCACTCATACCCTCCCACAGCCCCACACTCACACACGCACACCCCAACTAACCCACACACTCACACCCCAACCGATATTCCCACACTCCCACACTCCCAACGTCCCACACTCACACTCACACCCCAACAAAAACACACTTACACTCAAACCCCAACAAACACTCCCACACTCCCACAGCCCCACAGTCACACACAAGCACACCCAACCAACACTTGCACGCTCTCAAACCAACAATGACACGCTCTCATTCCCTCACAAATATGCTCACACCCCCAAGCAACACTCACATGCTCATGCCATCACCAACACTCACAGCCCCACACTCACACGCTCACATACACACACCCTCATACATACATATCCACACTCCGAAGCACACACATTCATACATTCACACACACACTCCCTCGCACGCCGCCCACCCCCACTGCGCAAACCAGGGGCGATTCCAAGCAGCCTCCTCGGCATCTGAAGGGCGACAGCAGGCCGGGGGGTTCCTGCGGGCCGAGCACAGCTGCATGTGGGAGCCCCAGGCTGTCTCCACATCCCTGCAGGGTCCCCGAGTGCCACCGGAAGTGGCCCCACCTAAGAACCAAGTGAAGTGGCCTGCAGTCCCCTCAGCACCTCCCGGGCACTGTGCATTGCCCCAGGCTGTCTGGGGGGGGCAGGAGGACGCACCTCGTTCCAGCCACGGCGCCATCGTTCTTGCCCAGCGGCTTGTCCAGCTCCACGCCACACCAATTCCCCTTGGCGAAGTACGTCTCCCCGAGGAAGCGCACCACACCGGCCTTCACGCCTCCCACCTGCCGGAGGGACGCAGGTCAGGCACCATGGACTGCGCACAGTGCCCCCACCCCCGCTAAGGAACATTCTGGCTTCAGAGTAGGGATTTCCGGAAGAAACCCCAAAGGTCAAGGTGCCACTTCCCCCCGCAACCCCTACAGGGTGAGCAGACGCTGCTGCTCAGTGTCCATGCAAGGCAGCGGCGTTCACACCCACTCGCTGTCACTGGCGGCCTGGCTGACCACACCCCTGGGAATCTCTGACCCAGGCCAGCCACCTGGTGTGGCGAGGGGGTCCCTGCCCCGCGGGTGTGGGAGCGGAGCCGTGGCAACCCCACCGCTGGAGAACAATTCAGCCAGAAACCAGCTAAAGGAAAATGACTGTTCTCATATCTTAGCAGAGTTCGATTTTCCAGTTCTCCTTCACTATGCCTTGGCTTGATGCTTGGCCCCCGGGACGCAGAGCAAAACAGAATCACAGCGCTGGACACCGACGGGAATGCTGACAAAAAGGGCCAGAGCACCGGGGGAAGGGCACTTGCTTTGTGTGCGGCCACCCTGGGTTCAATCCTCAACACCCAAGATGGTCCCCCTAGCCCGCCAAGAGTGATTCCTCAGTGCAAAGCCTGAGTGACCCATAAGCACTGTCAGGAGTGGCCCCAAAACCAAAAAGTCAAAACAGAAAGGGGGGGGGGGGAGAGAGAGAGAGAGAGAGAGAGAGAGAAACCTCAACTAATAATGCCTGAGAGCGTGGTTTTCTTTTTTCGGGTCTGGGGCAGGACTGGGTTCACGTGCTCGGGGGTCACTCGCAGCACGAGGGGTAGCAGCGTCACCCAGGACTGTCTCTGTGAGTCCTGAAGTCCCATCTGCAAAGGCCCTGGCACAGCCTCCGTGGCCAGACGTGGGCCCTGGGAACTGTGAGTGTGACAAAGAATAATAGAACAAGAGACAGGTGGCTGGGGTGGCGGCCCTGGGCTGAGAAGAGGCTGCAAAGTTCATCGGCAAAGAATCTGGCACAGAACATGCCATCCCTGACCCGGAAACAGCCTCCTGGAACAGCACAGCTGGAAGGCAGTCAAGTCTCTCAAGACCCTGACATTATATCCTGGAAATATCATCTGCCCAAAACTGCTGCAAGCCTGTCTCCAGAACATTCTGTCAGAGCTCAGCTGGAGAGAAGGGAAGTGATCTCCCAAGGTCAGGAGAACCACCGCACATCAGCCCGGAGAAACTCCTCACGGTTGGATTCTGAGACACCACAGGACGGACAGAGTGACCTCCCGCTCTGAGACACCATAAGACTGACCAGAGCGACTGACTGTTCCGCTCTGCGACCCCTGCCTACTTGTGAGCACAGACGGGACTTGAGGTCAGAGCTGGGCATTTCCAGTGACCCCAATGAGGGTCCCTGAGTCTCCAGAGAGAACCAAAGTAGCACAAGCATGGGGGCAACCTGTCCACTGCCAGTGACAGGGAGTGCCGGGGGCAGGGGACCGTCTTCCACAGGCCTGGAGGCTGGAACAGCCATGTCAGAGCCTTCGAAGGGCTCCTCGGAGGTCAGTCCCGTAAACATCGGGGCCAGCTGGCGCAGAACCTGGACTTCCTGTGCGCAGGGAAGAATGGGGCAAAGGGCAGGAGGCCCTTTGGAGAGCCGGGAGGGCGCCAGCCCTGCACGGGAGCTTCGCCTCAGTGCCCCGAGTCCAGCCCCCACTCGCCACGGCCTCCTGACCACGGCTGCGTTAGGCCGTGGAGCGCCAAGCAAACCTTCCTTGAATTAGGAAAAAGACCAAATAAAGTGTTTGGGTTTTCTTTTTTCCCCCTTCATCTTTCAGAAAACAGCCATTATGCTGGTTGTGGTCCCCGAGAAAAACCCTCAAAATTTTTTGAAAGGCGTGCTCTAGCTGAGGTATGGAGCGATGGAACAGCACAGCGGGCAGGGCGTTGGCCTTGCACACACCTGCCCGGATGTGGTCCCTGAGCACAGGGCCAGGACTCAGCCCTGAGCACCACCACCAATAAATGAATAACTGATCAGAGTTATTCACTGCAGAGCCAGTGGCGGTGTCCCCGCTCCCTTGTTCCAACAACACTGGTGTCCCTGTGTCCGGGTGTGGACGGTTGTGAATGCAAGTTAAAAAAAAAAGTCTTTTTTCTTCTTTGGGTCTTTGGCTCACACCTGGCGATGCTCAGGGGTGACTCCTGGCTCTGCATTCAGGAATCATTCCTGCGATGCTTGGGGGACCCTATGGGATACCGGGGAACCCAGGTTTGCTGAGTGCAAGGCAAACGCCCTCTCCGCTGTACTACTGCTCCAGCCCCCCAAACAGTCTTTAAACCGTGTGTCTCCTTCAGCTCCAATTCCCTCCCCGTGTTACTCTTTGGCCAAGCACAACGCTGACCGTGACCCTCCAGGACCCTCCGCGGGCCACCCTGCGCCTACAGGCGGGTGCCCTCACTGCTCTCCTCTCCCGCCTCCACCGCTCGGACACCGGCCTGGCGGTGGCCATCCCTGTGGTCCCCGGGAAGCCACTGGCTCCGGGCCAGCCCCCAGTCTGTCTGGTCAGAGCCACCCGCCTCAGAGGTTCCCAAGGGGACTTTTCCCGGCCGCTTCCCACGGGTTCTGAAAGCGTTATTGAGTGCTTCTGCTGGGGGAGAACAGTTGTCTACAGCCAAGCGCCTCTGCTTTGGGGACCTGTGCAGAGGAAAGGGCTTGGGGTAGACTGAGGATGCCACGTGCAGGGACCTGGTGACCCCCACCAGAAACTCATCTCACGGGGGTGCCCCCTCACCCCCACCTTCCAGTAGCTGCTCAGAGAAACACAAGAGCAGGTGCTGAGTCTGAAGATCAAGCAACCAAGTCAGCAAAACATACTTTTGAGAATGTTCCGGAGACGGGTCCCTACCCATGGCCTACCCAGGGTCCATCCCCGACACCCCAGATGGTCCCCTGAGCCCTACCAGATCCCTGAGTTCAGCACCAGGAGGAAGCCCTGTGCACTGCCAGGTGTGGCCCAAACACCAAACCACACACGTCTGGAGAGACGGCTCAGGGCTTGCGCACAGCCGGGCACGGAATGGCCCAGAGCGGCTTGGGGTGAGCCCCGTGACGCCCCAAACACAAACATCACAAACCAGAGAAATGGAACCGATTTCCAACTTCGTTCGTTGGTTTGTTTTTTGAGTCACAGTCATAGTGCTCAGGGCTTACTCTTGGCTTGGTGATCAGGGATCACTCCGGGATGTGCTTGGGGGACTGTACATCGGACCAAGACTTAAACCCCGGGTCAGAGGCGTGCAAAGCACGCGGTCTCCCCACGGCATGACCCCTCCACCCTGTTTTGGCTAAACTGGTAAAACTGGCAGCATCCCCGCACGCATCCATCACGCTGGAAACTGCAGGACCAGGCGTCCCGGCTGCTCGTGCTTCCACCCAAACCGCGAGTCTGCAAAGGCTGATGGAACAGACAGGCGAATGGACACCCACCCGCGACCGCTGCCCTCGGCACTCACCAGCACCCGGTCCCCGAGCTTCAGCTCCTGCTCCCCGTTCTTGAGGGAGCCAGCCTCCGAGAGGTTGGAGATGGACTCGCTGGCCGTCCTGGTCAGGTTGCTGATGTGAGGGGTGGCCGGTGCCTCCTTCAAGGAGGGCTGGGGTACCTTCCGGGTGGCGGCAGGGGCCGGGGAGACCAACAGGGGCGGTGTGGCCCGGACAGCAGGCGCTGGCTGCAGGCCGTTGGTCTCATCGTCGGCCTGCAAGCTCCTGCTCAGCTTGGACGGCCGGGTGAAGATGCCCTTCAGCGGCTCGCACTGGAAGTAGCGCACACCCGCCACCGAGCCGTCGTTCTTGCCGATGGGCTCGTCCAAGACGATCCCGGCCCACTGACCAGGGGCAAACTGGGTCTCCCCGAGGAACTGTATGAATCCAGGCTTGTTCCTCTTCACCCAGACTCGTTCCCCCACCTGGAAGTCGTCCACAAACGCCTCCTGCGTCTCCGAGGAGGGGGCGCTGGGGGTTTTCTCCCCAGGCACGGACTTCTCAACGGGAGCAGCCGCTGGAACAGCAGAAAGGGTCAGAAGGGTCAGAAGGGTCAGGAAGAGTCTGTCCAGGTCCAGTTAAAGTGTGGTTGGGGGGGGCCACACCCAGCAGTGCTTGGGCCTACTCCCAGTCAATGCCGGGGCTGCTTGTGGCGAAGCCTGGCTGGGCCCGCTGTGAGGGGACGTGCCTACCTACTGCAGCATCCCAGGCCGCAGTCATATTTGGGCAGCTGAGGGGAAATCTTTGGACACACCCCGTGATGCTAGGGACCAAGCCAGGTGAAAGCTCCAACCCAGTGTCTTATTTCTGCTGTGTCCACTGGCCCATCTTCTTTTTCTTTTAGGGGGGGAGCACCCCAGCCAGTCCTCAGGGCCTATATCTGGCTCTGCGCTCAGGGTCACTCATGTGAGGTTGAGGCTGGAGAGTCCCATGGGGTGCCGGTTGCCCTCCCCACTGTCCTGTGGCTACGGCCAGCAATGAGGCCCTTTAGTCCAGGTGAGTCCACCTCCCTCAGCCTGCCCCAAGCCTGGGCGAGGGGGCTAGCAGTTAGGAGGGTGCGTGTTGGTCGCCTCAGCTGACACCAGTTGCCGTGACACTAAAGTCACAGAACATGACACTCGTGTGTGAGAGCTGTCCCCAGAGCCATGAACGTGCCTACAGCTCAGGGAGCCCTTCCCAGGCGAGGACTCAGGAGGGGGTTCCCGGGTGGGAATGAGTCTCCCCTGGCCCGGGCTGAGCGCACTTACCGGCCGAGGGCGCCTTCAGGGCCCAGCTCCCATGCTTGAGGATCTTGGTGGGGGCCTTCAGCCCGCTGGGCCTCAGCAGACTCATGGTCAGGTGGTCAGACGCTGCTGCGGCCACTACCGGGCCCTGACCGTCGAGCCCACTCGGGGCCTTCTGAGGCACACGCGTTCTCAGGGATAAATCTCTGAAGAACAGAGGAGAGAGTCTGTCTCAGGGGAGCGACCACAGCAGCTTCCGGAGCCCAGAGAGCTGCCAGTCTGGCACTCGCCACCCCGAGTGCAACTCCCAGCATCCCGCACAGCCCCCGAGCCCACCAAGTGTCACTCCTGTGCAAAAACTCAATCACAAACAGACAAACAAACAACTGCAGATTCGGGGCCAGAGGGCAGAGGGGCCAGGTACTTGCCCTGCGGGCAGCTGACCCTCACGCCCTCCCTGGCATCACACCCACCCCCAAACACATTCAGGAGCCAGAAATCGTCCCTGAGCACTGCGAGTGTCACTGACCACCTCCCCGTCCAGACACTGACTAGCCGGGAGGCGACTCAGCAGTGATCGCTGGTCTTGTGTGTGCGCGTGTGCGTATGTGTGTGTGTGAGAGGCCCGGGGTTACACACAGAAGCTAAGGCAAGCAACAGGCACACTTTTTTCTATGGGCTGAGAACTGCCAGGGAAAAGGGCCCAGCAAGACTGCGCCAAAGGGGGGCTGGAGAGCGATAGCACAGTGGTAGGGCGTTTGCCTTGCACGCGGCCGACCCAGGTTCGATTCCCAGCATCCCATATGGTCCCCTGAGCTCTGCCAGGACTGATTCCTGAGTGCAGACCCAGGAGTAAACCCTGTGCATCACCAGGTGTGACCCAAAAAGGAAAAAAAAATGCGCCAAAGAGGAGTGAAGGAGGTTTTGGCGTTTCCTTCGTTCCTTGTGACGCTGCCCAAGTTTGATAACCACAAGCCAGTATTAACTCCATTTCTTAACCCACAGAACTGAGGCAGACAGGTGGATGGGGGAAACGTTGCCATGGCAATGGAACTCCGAGATTAGCCCCCTTGAACCAAGGGAGGGCGCTCATGTGTGCCTGAGCCCAGGGACTGCTCTTGCCCAAGAGGTCGGTCATGTTACTGGCTTCTCCCCTCCTGAGGTGTGGACTTTCGGACCGAAAGCAACCAGGCAACCTAACGTGTTCAGTGGCTTTCTGCGCCTCTGGAGAAGCCGCACTCTCTCTCAAGTGTGTTACTCCCTCCCTCCTTCCCCTTCCTAAAAGCCTCCAAATAAAATGCTTCTGCTTCATGCTCATCTCCTGAAATGCTTTTCTTCGAGAAGGACAAAAGCCCGGGGGCCTGAGGAGGTCGAGGATCGACTCCCTTTCCCTGAAAAGGGCAACCCCTCACTCCGGCCCGAGATCCCGGGAAGGCCTAGTGGGCTTCGTGGGGCTGGCAGGGCTCGTCGCGCTCACCAGTGCCAGCGCTCCAGCCAGTCCCGGGGGAGTGACATCTTTTCCTCTGCTTCTCATCAGCCCCCCATGAGGGCCCACTGACTTCAGAGTCATTCCATATTTCAACAGAAAAGTCCGCAGGGGGCAGAGAGGCAGGACAGTGGGGAGGGCACTTGCCTTCTATCCAGATGTCCTGGGCTCGATCTCCGTCAGCACAGGGATGTTAGCCGGCCAGGGTGACCCCTGGGCACAGCCTGGTATGGCCACCCCACCCCACCCCACCCCACCCCCACCCCAGCCCCCAAATATATATATATAACTACTAAAAAAACTTAAACGAACTACAGATTAAAAACTATCATACACTAAAGAACTGTTAGAGAAAAAAGCCACCCGCACGTGGGCAGAAAGCCCAGAGACTCAGATTCACCTGCGTCACACTGCACTCGCAGCTTAAAGAACTGAGCTCTGCCAAACAGGCTCGTGCCAGTCTCCTACAGAGACTGAAAATGGCACTTGGAGTCTAGAATGTTCCGAGGTAGAACAAGAATTCAGCAAGGAGGAGGGCATCATGGGCCCTTCTTAAAGGGGCAGGCGCCACCCTTCATGACGCCAGGGTCCGGCTGAGGCTCCGGAGGGCTGCCCTGCAGACGCCAGCACTAGGTGGCCAATGTGCCCCTGGTCCCTGCGGGGCCCAGTTCTGGACTCCTGGGCCCTGAGAAAGTGGTTTCAGAAAACGTTTGACAAATGTTTGGCAGTTACAGATCTCCAACTGAGGTCATTCGGCGTCCCCTGAGTGGGACCTGGACTCAGTGACCGTGCCCAGGGCCCTCCTCAGGAGCCGGGCCATAAAATCTGTGGGCGGGAGGGGGCGGAGGGGCAGAGCGACAGGGCAGAGGCCCTGAGTCCGACCCTGACAGCCCTGCTCTCTGTGACCCCAGTGCTGTGAGCAACACCTGCCGCACCGTGGCCAGGGAGTGGCCCAGCTCACTAAGGCCTGAGAGCTGTACAGAGGAGTATGGCCTGGCCTGCTCGGATGGGAGCACAAGCTGAATGAGTGCGGGTCCCCTCGAGGATGAGTGAGCAGGAACGGGGGAGTAGTGGGGAGGAGGGGAGGGCGGAGTGACCTAACCTGGGGGCTCAGGATGGGACACCTGGACGGGACACCTGGCGGTGCTCAGGGCCGACTCTGATCCAGTCATCGGGGCTCATGCTGGCAGGACCTGGGGGGTGGTGACGTACAGGGTGGGGTGGGGTCAGTCGCAGGCAAGGCAGGCTCCTTGGCCCTGGGCTACCCTTCCGGGCAAGGATACCTATTTTCTTTCTTTCCTTTTGTTTCTTGGGACACCCGGCAGTGCTCAGGGTTACTCCTGGGTCTGCACTCGGGAATCACTCCTGGCGGTGCTCAGGGGACCTATGGGGTGAGCCATGCACCAGGCAAGTGCCAAGTCTTGATGTCAAGGTGCCCACGAAACAGTGTGCAACAAGGGACTCTACAGAGAACGTCAGGGACAGCAAAGGATATGTGGAAATCAATCAATTCTGAAAAAAACACAAAAAGATGCAAAAGGAGGGGCTGAAGTGAGAGCACAGTGGGGAGGGGTTTGCCTTGCTCACGGCTGACCAAGATTCGATCACCTGTCCTGAGCACTGCCAGGAGTAATTCCTGAGTATCACTGAGTGCGACCCAAAAAGCCAAAAAAAAAAAAAAAAGAAAAAAACAGCGCGAAAGAAAATGTGTTTGAGCTTCACGCCCTACCGAGGTCCCCAGCTGCCCCCCACGAGCGGCTCTCCGGCACGGCCACGGTCCCAGAAGCACAAGAACTTAACACAGAGAACCAGCAGCTTGGAGCAGAAAAGCGAATGGACTATGTGTTAAACCGCACCATCATGCCTGCCCGGAGGGGAAAGGGTGTTGCCCCCTTCACCCTCTCCTCTCTGGAAAGAAAGATGGCGGCCGCATGGGAGCCTTGTGGACAGTAGGTTTGAGCCGGGGGTCTGGGGCGGCAGGGACCTCATGGGAAGGGGGGCGTTCTGGCCCGTCCTTCACGCCCTACCGAGGTCGCCAGTTGCCTCCCACGAGCGGCTCTCCGGCACGGCCACGAGTCCAGAGCACAGAAACCAATCTCTTAATTATCTAACTTTTAATAGAAATATTTCCAGGGTTAATAAGTAAAAGAGCAGAAGTCCAAACCCAGCTGTAGAAAGCAAATCATTTAACAACGTTTTTTCAGCATGTCTGATTTGGGGTGGGTCGTAAACTCTAAATTATAATGGTGCATCTTTTATCGAAACAATGAATCGAGTCAAAGAAGATAGAGTGTTAACTAGAACTCATCTGCCTCACAGGAATTGGGAGGGGTGGGAGGTGGGGTTCTATTGGGGTTCGTGGTAAAAAATAAGTATTGGTAAAGGGAAATGTGTTTGATATTTACATGACTGAGACCTAAACCTGAAAGCTCTGTAACTTTTCCCACAGTGATTCAATAAATAAATAAATAAATAAATTATAAAAAAAAAAGAAAAAAAAGAAAATGTGTTTGAGCCTCACTGTCTCCCCGAGACTTGAGCACTCAGTGCCGTGTGTGAGCCCAGTAGAGTCTCCAGCCTGAACAAGCCCCGAACCCCCTCACCCCCATGCTCCTGTGTTTGGACCGTGACCCTAAATCCTGTGATGGGATCACGTGTGTCCATGACAAAGACGCTAGCAGGCTCACGCCCCAGAACGTCCCTGCTTCACACAGGCGTGGCACACGGGTCCTGGCCTGCTCCTGGCCGGCAGTGATTCGGCAGGAAGCAGAGGTGTGAGCCTGAACGTGGGTCAAATCCGTTCCTTCAGCTTGGAGGGGAGGAATGTCCGAGAGGGGGTTTTGAGCACTGCCTCACAAGCATGAGGTCCTGAGTCCAAGTCCCCGGGGTCACACGTGCACCTGGCACAAAGCCGGCACAAACCCGGCAGCTCTGCTGTCCCAGCACCACGCAGGAAGGTGGTTGACCCCAGGAGGAGGGCCACCGAGAGAGGAGGTGGACACCACAGAAAGGAGGAGGGAACACAGGGTAGGAGTTGAGGGCTGCAGGCCCGGGAGCACCGGGTAGAGAACAGCCCTGGGGAGCAGGAGGCCAGGCAGGCGCCCCTTGTCACTGGCCACTCGAGGCAGTCACAAAAGCCGTGTACAGACCCACGAGGCTGACAGGGTGCCAGGGACAGGGCAACCCCAGCAAGGATTTTTCTTTAAGTTTTGGGCCATGGGGCCAGAACTCTAGTACAGCGGGGAGGGCGTTTGCCTTGCACACAACTGACCCGGGTTCAATCCCGGCATCCCATAGGGACCCCAGAGCACCTCCAGGAGTAAGTCCTGAATGCAGAGCCAGGAGTGACCCTGGAGCATGTCCAGGTGTGACCCAAAAACAAAACAACAGCAGAGCAAGCGGAAGGGCCCGGAAGCTCCGAGCCACGGAAACGCCAAGGTTGGTTGGTGCCCACTCGCCCCCGACCCCCGCCAGGCCAGGCCGGCCTGGGATCAAGGTGCGCGAGCGTCTCCAGACAGGATCTGCCTCAGCGGCTCGGTGCGTTATCTCAGCCTATCACCCAACTCGACTGGGATTGACTCTGGTTATCTCCTTGACTGGTTACCTTGGGCATCTCTGGGGCC